TCATGTCTCAGTTTACACGCACACACATACACATGCACACGCAAGCACATATACACACACGCGCCAGACCCGCTCTCCCTCCATCCCTGTGGTGACTCTGCTGCCCCGTCCGCTTGTTCCCTTGCCCACGGTCTCAGCACCTCCAGTTCACAGACCCCTGTTATTCCGTGCAGATTTGGGATAAGACTGTTGAAGTTGCTGAAAACAAACAGCCAGCCTTCTGGCAGATCGCAGCGCCCTCACGTCAACGTGGAGAGCAGGCGGGCGGGTCGACTATGGTGGCTCAGATGCGTCAGCATTCGCGGGAGGCCGGCGCCCTTTGATCATTCCTCAGCTGCCTGTCAAGCGTGCTGCCAGGCAGGCTGGCCGGTTTTCTCACCGGGAACCAGGCGATGGGTCGTGCGAGGGGCAGCCTCCCGGGCCGGTGCTCCGCCTGTGCTCGGTCGGCAGCTGGTGGAAGCGCTGGCAAGCGGCCGGCAGAGCGGTCCCTGTGGAGCAGCCGCCGTCTGGATCGGCTCTAGCGCTCTGCTGATTCGTAGGGTTTTCTGTTCCCACGACTGTGGCGGCACCGGTGCATTTCCCTCCTCCTTGCAATGTCCTGCCTTGTGCTTGTGTCCCTGTCTCCTGGCTGTGGCCGTGGCCTCCGGCACAATGTTAGACTCTGGGAGATGAGCTGGGGTCCCCAAGACTGGGAGGGGAGGGCCTCGCCCGGGGTCACAGGGCCCAAGGACTCCTCGTGTCCCCACAGCCCTCCTCTACAGCCCCACCTGCTTCTGGGCTGAGCCAGGGACCCTCCAAGTCACCCCTCCAGCCTCCTCTCACACCCACACCCACGTCAGCGAAACCAATGCATCCAGAATCCGCCCCTTCCTGCTGGGGTCCAGGCCACCCTTGTGCTCACCAAGTCCCCAGCAGTGTGGGGGGCCGGGCAGGCCGGGGCAGAGGTGCCTCCGGCTGCCGGGGGGTGGGGGCCTGAGCAGGTGCCGGTGATGCCGGGAGGGGACCCACAGGACCTGGTGGGGGCTTGCGGGACATGCAGTCAAGGGACCCTCGGGCTCCTGACGGCCCCAGAGCCAGGAGGGGCTGCTCCACGAGGCGGTGATGTGTTGCAGGTCCTGGAGCCTCCCAAAGGGCCCACAGGACTGGCCCTCGGGACAGAGATGGGCTGGGCAGCATCCAATAGGGAAGCAGAACCCACCTGCCCAGCAGGGCCGAGCACCGAGGCCTCGGGCACAGTGAGGCAGGCGCCGCTGGTGGGGTTGGCCTCGAGTCCACAGGCCCCTGGTCACACCTTCCAGTGAGCCCCGCAGGAGCTGGGGGGCAGTAGTCAGGGGGCCTCAGGGCTGGGAGTGGCACCCCCCACAACCAGGCGCCACGGCACCAGGTCAGGAGGCAGGGCTGGCAAGGATGGGGTGGGGTTTGACTGTAAAGCCTGGTGGGAGATCTGAGACCCTGAGTGAGCACCAGGGAGGGGCCACCAGATTCAGAGCCAGCCACTGGACAGAACGGTCACAGACTGGGGGCGTCCCCACAGCAGGCTCTGAACTCCCAGGGCAATGCCATCCTGTCCATCACTTTCACAAGATGGTCTGCAGTGGGCACCACCGGCCCAGGCTTCCTCACTGGGTTGGGCTGGGGTCCATCCAGAGAGCTGCCCTCGGGCCCCTCTGGGGACAGAGAGCCTCAAGGAAAAGCAGGCCCAGCAGCAGCCCCACCCGGTGGGAGGGGAGCCTGAGGAGGGGGTCCCAGAGCCATCAATCTGGGCAGGCGAGAAGACATTTCAGACACATGAGGTTTCACAAAATCACCTCCCTTGAGCCCATTCTCAGGAAGCTATTGCAGGATGCACTCCAGCAAAATGAGGGTGTAAACCCAAGAAGAGGGTGATGGGCCAGGAGATCAGGCAGCATGCGAGGTCCATTCATTCATCCACTCGCTCGCTCAGCAAACACCAGCCACACACCGAGCGCGCAGCAGAGGACATTCGGAGTCCCTCCTGACACGTTTCTGCAAAGGGAGTCAGAGCAAAACAGGTTTTCAAACTAAAATAGAAAGTATGGTTTCAGTTCAGACATGTAAAGAGCTTAGAAGTCGTCACTTCTGTCCTTGCAACAAAAATAGTTGAAAAACTGAAAAATCAACAACTTTTCTTGGACCCGTCACAGAACCGAGGTCACAGGGCAAACCACCACCCTGAGATCTGGAGGGACAGTGACGAGGTCACTCGCCTGCAGCAGAAGCCACTGGAGCCACGATGGGCTGGTGCGCCCAGGGGTGAGCGGTGATTTGCTGGAGCTGAGTGGACTCGAGTGAGAGAGAAGCTCCGGGAAAGAGAAGAGCAGCCCCAGCCCTGCCCCTCGCCCGACGCAGTGCCATGGGGCAGTCTCCCTCTGCGTGGGCCCACGTGAAGGAGCCTGCGGCCGTGCTCCAGGGTCTGGTCCTTCCTCTGACGTGTGAGGCCCACACGCACTGTCTGTGAACGTCACTCGTCTTCACTGCTGTGGAAATCACTACTGGCCATCCATCCCACCGCTGATGGACGGGGTGTTTCAGGTTCTGCCCTTTATGGTGAGAGCTGCCCTGGATGCCCCTGACCCGGCGGTCAGTCACTGCGTGTCCGTGTATCAGAGCCCCCGGGAGTGGAAATGCCGGTCAGGGGGTCTCAGCGGGGCTCCGGGGAAGCGGCCCTGGGATGGGTTCCACACACAGCTGGTGTGGCAGGAGCCCTCTCGGCGACACCCTGCAGGGCCCAGCGAGAGCACTGGGGCAGAGGGGGATGGGGGTCGGCGGGGGTCCCCTTGGAGCGGGCGGGTGTCCACAGCCATCCTCAGCTGAGACAAAGGGGCTGGAGGTTTGCACTCCGAAGCCAGGGACTAAGTGAGCAGAAGGGACGACCCCCCAGCAGGCTGCAGGATGCTGGACCCACAGCACCAACTACGGCCGGGGTGGGCTTCGGGGGGGCGCAGCTCTCATGGCTGAGGACACCGTGCAGAGGGCTGAGCCGTGCGCCCTCAGGAACTAGGGCGCCAGGGCTGGGGAATGAATGCCCTGGTCCTGTGCGGACGCCCGGTGCATGCACCACCACCCCCGCTGTGGGGAAGGTCACCGTGTCTGGACGCTCCTGTGGCGGTTCCCGACGGTCTTTTTTTCTCTTCCAACTTTGGAATCAGAGTTAATGCAACCTCATGACACAAGTTGGGAGGTGCACCCACTCCCTGTGAGTGGAAGTTTGTGTGAAACTAGTTATTTCTTCTCTAAATATTTAAGACTCACCACGAAGTCATCCAGATTTGTAATTTTTTTTTGAGGAAATCTTTTTTAAATTTGAATTCTTTAAAGTTATAGAGCTGTTCAGGTCTTTATGTTTGTGTCAGTGTTCGCAAGTGTTGTTTTTTTTCATTTCTTCTAAATTTTCAGCATAGTCGTTCATCAGATCTGCTGTCATTCTACTGACCTTGGGATCTGTAACGACGCCTTTTCACGGCTGGTGGCAGTTGTACTTATTTTCTTAATTCATCTGACAGAGTTTACTAATTTTTCAAAGAACCACCTGTTGGATTGGTGGATCTTCTCTGCTATGTGTTTGTTTTCTGTTTGGTTAATTCTGAGCTTATATTATTTTGGTCCATCTATGACTTTAAATTTTGTCATTCTTTTTCTAGTTGCTTAAGATACATATAAATTTATCTTAATTACGGTTTCTGTTCTCTTCTAATACTTTACGTTAATTACTTCAGCTATTCCCCAGTTTTTATATGTTGTGTTTTCAGTGTTACTCACGATTCCTGAAGGAAAAACCGGTGATAAAGGGGGAAACAAGTGAAGACAGGATGGCTGAGAATTTTCCAGAATTAACTGAGTAAAGACACGAATCTGCCAATTCACAACGTGTAATGAGTTCTGGGAAGGAGAAACAAGAACAGAGCCACTCGTGGACACGAGCTGCAGTGAGAAGGCAGAATGCTGGGCAAAGAGGGGACTGTGAAGGCAGCTGCAGAGAAAAGCGGGACCCCCGAGGGACGGCGACCAGGATGACCCCTGGCTCCCGAGGACAGAGGCTGGACGATGAGGAGGCGCGGAGTGGGGAGAAAACAGCTCCGGCCCTGGAATCCTGCGCCAGCCCAACCTCAGCAAGGGTGTGGGCAAAACTAAAGTTTTCTCCAGAAGTCTCCCACAAATAGGCCTTTGTGGATGGCTTCCCTGGCAGAACAGCGCTGGAAAGACCACTGAAGGACGCGCTCCAGGACGCACAGAGCTAAAGGGGAGCAGAGTCGGAGAAGCCGGGACGTGAGCCCCAGGCACCACAGTGGAGGCTTGGGGCCGAGAGGGAAATGCCAGGCTCGGGCAAAGAGCAGGCCTCTGTGGCGGGCCCGTCCCTGCCCTCAGGAACCCCATCTAGCGCAAGACTGAGGAGCAAGTGCAGCTGCGAGTCGAGGTCATTCATGCAGGTGCATAGGAGGGCCAAGGTCAGGAACCACGTGGTGCCAGACCAGTGGGCCCGAGGCAGGCCGGGGCGCCAGCTCGGCGGCACCCTGAAGGCCGTGCGATGCCAGGGAGGGACAGGGAGCAGGCAGCCTGTGCACACGGCTCTGCTGGCGGGCGCTGATGGGGCTTCCCAGGGAGCCGTGAGAAGGGGACAAAGGGTTTAGCCTTGAGCTGCATGAGGACTGACTGCTGTTTCTTGCGTCCCTGCAGTGTCCTCCTGGCTTTCCTCTGCAGAGGCCACGTCATCCGTTCTTCCCCGGGCCTCAGGCCCCTGTGAGAGGAGCACCAGGCGGAGGCGGGTGGGCCCTGTCCTGGCAGTGGCTGTGCCAGGACCTGCATGCCCCTGGCACTGCCGGCACCAGCACTTGAGGCACACAGCTTCCGGGCCAGGACCTGCGGCTCCCTCGGACATGGCTCCCGGGGCTGTAACTGGCCCCAAGGCCACTGGAACCTGCACCTAGAGCCCCCAGCGTCCCCGCGAGACCAAGCTGCTGAAGCAGACGCTGGGCACGCCACTCTTTCTGGGGCTTTTATTTCTTTAAAATAATTCATACAAATGGTGACAGTCACAAACATGATTTTAACCAAGATACTGCGAGCTACCACATCAGCAGGACGGACGGCACCGGCGCAGGCCGGGACATGGCGCGCTTGCAGCCCGGACAGATGCCGCGGGCCCAGGCTCTCTTCGTCTCGAGCCGTGTCGCAGTGCCGTCTTCATTTGGAACAAGGGGGTTCATGCCAAAATTAGGAAAACAGCCTTTGTTTTGTTTTCTAAGTTATTCTAAAAATAAGACAAGCAGGTAGAAAAAACAATGCACTGTGTGGCGTAGAAAGAAAAACGGGAAGGATTCATTGTCCTGAGAAGTTTGCCAACTGCCTCATTCCGGGCCGTTCAACGCACGGAAGGAAACCGTGTGAAATCGACCTGTTGAGCCCCCCGGTTCCTGGCTGACGGCCTGGCAAACAGACCCTTTGTCACGCTCTAAGACTGGACACGGACAGGACACTCATGAGATTAACTACTAACTTCTCTTGCTTAACGAGGACGCAAAGGACACAGGGCAGCGGCCGGCCTTCGGGACGGGACAACTACAGTCGACGCCGGGAGGCTTGGCGCCTCCTCCCGGCCACCTGGAGCCGGGACAGTCTCTGGATCGCTGTGGCGCCTGCAAGCCACTCCGCGCGCCTGTCCAACGGCGGCCCCGCCGACTGAGGCTGCAGAGCTCCGCCCGGGCTACAACTGGTCACTCGGGTGGTCTCTATCCGCCTCGGGCTTCACGGTTTGGCCGGGAGAAGGGGCGTGGGGCGGGTGGGACACGGGGGGCAGGCCGTGGGACAGGGACATGGCGCTGGGGACAATGCCTTCGACAGCTGCTGGGATGCCACTGGGGGCCACACCCACCACGCCCGGGGGGTACCTGCTGGGAGAGGAGAGACAGCAGATGAGGCCCCGCAGCCAGGCCCCTTCTGTGGCTGCAGCACTGACAGCACAGGGCCAGGAAGGCAGGGGGCTGCTCCCGAGGCCACCTGCTGGGGCGGGCCCACTGCCCTCCCACACACCCTGCCCCCCTGTGCCCAGTACGGCCTCTACCCAGATGGTCTTGTATCCACCAGGCCCTGAAGGGCACCCGACCTTCTGTGTCCACTGGGGCCCAGGTGAGCACGCACGTCCAGGCCTGAGAGCCCCCTCACCGGCCTGCTCACCTGTAGGCGGCCCCGTTGAGCTCGGGGTGCACGACGGCTGGGTCCATGCTGGCCCAGTGGGTGGCAGCTGTCAGGTGGTCCTTGTTGACGCAGTTCTTCAGGCTGTCGGGGATCCGGCCTGGGAGATGGAACAGAGAGTAAGGATGGGGCCCGCATTCAGCAGCTGCCACCAAGGGGACCCCAGCAGCTTGTAGGTCAAAGACCTGGGTCGCCCCCCCATGGAGCTAATGCTACAGAGGCCCCGTGGCTATGCGCCCCCTCCTCCTGGCTCACTCCTGTTAGGCACAGGAGGCCGCTTGTCTGGCACGGTCACCTTCGCAGCTCGGGAACCCCCAACCCCAAGCAGGCGCCCTCAGCTCAAAGGAGCTCCCCTACCCTGTCTGCTCCACCTGGGGGTGTCAGAGAGCAGCCAGCAGGGCCCACCAAGGACAGCCTGACCTTCTTAAAGGGTGGTAAGAAATGACACATATGCTGAAACCTCAGTGACAATGAGCAAGGGTCACAAAGGTGACACATGCCTGACTGAGGACCAGCACGCTGTGGCCACAGGAGAGACCTGGGGGCTGACTTCCTCTGCATTTGGGGGTCTGCTGCGGCTGTGCCACCCACACCAGGGTGGGTCAGTATCAGCTCTGTGCACGTCCAGCATAAGATAGACATGGCTAAATGATGGGGAAGGTGGAGAAAGGCCACCCAACGGGCACTGGTCTCCGAAAGAGCCTGAGGACCCTGCCATCGGCACGTCCCACCCACCCTGCCAGCCCACCTGTGATGGCTCTCCGGATCTCCCGGGCTGCCTCCTCGCGCATCTCGATGGACGCCTGCTCGCTGTACCAGGCTGCGTGGGGGGTGCAGATCAGGTTGGGTGCGTCCTTCAGAGGACCCTGGCTGAAGCTACGGACAACGCACGGCAGGTTAGAGCGCCGTGGCCTGGGGTGGGGCGCAGGGTGCCTGGCCCTGTCTGGAACCACGCCCCCACCCCTCCATCAGATCCGTCCACCCCCAGGATGGTGAAACTTGCCACGGGCTCCTGACAGCCACAGGGAGGGGCCTGCACTGGGGGGACGCTGCCCTGGCCCCTCCCTCAAGGGGGCCTGGCTCCAGAAGCTACAGGCTGTGACCCCAGGTCCTCCCGCACTGCTGTCCCCCAGGGCTGGAGACCCGGGCTGGCCTGCTGCCCAGACGGGCTTCCTGGCTGTGAGGCCTCTGAATGAGCCTGCAGGTGCCGACCACCTGCCCCCCGACACCTGGCTGGGCACTGGCCGGACCGGGATCATGGGCTGGACACGAAGTCAGGCCCATCTGTGCCTTTGGACCCTCAGCTGCCCAAGGCAGGGACCCGGGCTCAGAGACCATAGATGGGCATTTGGGCCTCAGTCCCTCGGTGCTGCAGCCATTAGGGCCGGCCCCTGACTCCTGCCAGCTGTGGGGGGGCGTGAGCACCCGCCCAGGAGAGGTGCCATCTCGGGGACCGCCCACGGCGCCACTGGGGGGCACCTGAAGGGCTCCGACTCGTGCACGTCCAGGGCCGCGCCACGTATCCGCCCCTCCTTTAGGGCCTGGGCCAAGGCCTTCTCGTCCACCAGGCCGCCCCGGGCCGTGTTCACCAGGAAGGCCCCTTGTCTCATCTGGGAAGACACAACAATGGCACAAAGAGTCAATTGACGGGACTCCTCACCTGCCCGCCCACGAGGGTGGAGTCAGGCAGGGGCACCGAGCAGAGGGACCAACTACAGGACGTGGTAGCAGGTCCCTTTCCCTATGAGCCCACCCCAGCTCTCGGGCCCTGTGCCTGGAGGGCCGGGCAGCTGTGCTGAGGCCACAGGGCTCTCCTGGGTTGGCCAAGGGCTCAGGACGCATGGGGCCTCTGCCCCACTGAGATGGCTGGCTGGAGGGGACAGACCAACGCCTGGCCCAGCCTCCTTCCACCCTAGGCACTGGGGCGTGGGCCAGGCTGAGGGGGCTCTGAGCCCAGCCCCCACTTTGCGCATGGTGCCTGGAAAGGGTCTGGGGTGTCTTGGGCACCGTGTGGCCCTGGTGGCCCGGCCCCTGACCCCACACTCGCCAGGTAGGTGGGGGCCCAACCTTCCCCCAGCAGGGCCTCACCCCAGGAGGTGGGGGTTCAGGGCCTCAGAACACACCCCAAACGCCCTGGGGTAATGGCTGGAAGCCCCCAGGGCGCCTCCTGAGGGGCTGTGCTGACAGTGCCTTATTCCAGCCCAGCTGCCTTTGCCCACCTTTGCTGTGAGCCCTCTGGGTCGGCCTGGAGATGCCCACCCTCTCTGAGGTGAGGCTTCTTGTGACCCCGACCTCACCCCCACCAAGCCTGCCCTGCCAGTGTTGCAGGCGGCCATCACTAAGTCACACCCAGTTCTCGAGAACACTAGGCTCTGACTGGTACCCCCAGCCTGTGCCTGCCCCCCAGAAACCCAAACCCCGGCGGGAACAAAGGGAGGAGCTGCATGGATGCCAGCCTCATCCTCCACGGGACAGCGGGACCCGTGTCCGTGCATGCACACGTGCACACACACGTACCCACACAAAGGTAAGCGCTTGTATATATGTATGCACGTACACACACGAAGCTGTGCCCACACAGGTACACACACTTGCCCACACCGACGCACATGCCCCTGTGCACGCATGTGAACACGCACAGGTTCGGCACACACACAGCCCTGTGCGAGGCCTGGAGTTGGCGGGAAGGTCCTGCTGGACCCGGGGCAGCTCGGGACACACAGGCCTGAGCTCGTGCCATGCCGGTCGCAGGCTGACACCACGGCACAAACTCCTCCAGCTGCGGATTTAAACCTCAGCTGATGGCCCAGTGCTGAAGTGGGAGCGCTGGTGGCCACATCAGCCAGACCCGAGACCCCCACGCTGCTGGGTCCGCCCCATCTGTGGGGACGACAGGACCTGATGAGAAACTGGCACTGGAAGGTCAGTGGTTTGCCTTCACCGTGGGCCCTCAGCCAAAGGAGCCTCATAGAACCCAGGGAACAATTGACAGCCGTGCGTGTGCACGGGTCCCAAGTCGCACTGGTCGCTCAGCCCGCAGGGGTGGGAGAGGGAAATTGCCCCAGGCAACTCGGTACCTTGGCGAGCTGCGCGGGGGTGCTGGCACGAGCAGCTGGAGAGGTCCACCTACCACCCACCCGTGCACACCCTGCGCGGCCAGAGCAGGACAGACCCTGCTGGCCTAGCCGTGACCTTCGCCCTCGCTCGAGACCCTGTGCCGACTCTGGCCTTGGAGGGGGGCAGCCCACCTGCTTGACGGTGAAGTCGTTGATGAGGTGGTGGTTGTGCTCATTGAGGCCGCAGTGCAGGGTCACGCAGTCACTGTGGAAGAGCAGGTCCTGCAGGGTGCTGACCCGCTGCAGCCCCAGCGCCCGCTCCGTGCCGTCCGACAGGTAGGGGTCGTAGAAGAGCACGTTGAAGCCGAATGCCTTGGCCCGCAGGGCCACCGCCTGCCCCACGCGACCTGGTGGGTGGGATGGAGACAGTGTCACCACGGCCAGGGGCCTGGTGGCGACACCGTGGGACACACGCCCCTCAGTGGGGGAGCGGGGCCCTCTCTGGCCCCAAGGCTTCCGCTCCCAGATGCACAAGGCACAGGCTTCAGAGAGCAGGGGCAGGACGGGAGGGAGCCGGGTAGCAGACAGTAGCTCTGGACACGGGGTGGGGTACAGTGTAGTGTGGTGGGGGCTGCGGTGTCAGAGGAGCCCTGTGCCCTGGAGGATGGAACCCACTCTCCTCTGCTCCCAAAGAAGGCCAGAGGGGCTCAGAGGCCTCACTCCGGGACCCCAGGAGGGAGCTCTGACCTGGCCACAGTGGGGCCGCAGGGTGGTGGAGACAGAAGAGAGAGAACTACGGCGGGCCAGGACCTGGGGACGCTGTTGACCCTCGGACTCATGTGAGGCAGCCAGACGTGGCCTCAGCCCCAAGGTCTCAGGGGTGTGTGCTGCGGCTGGCCACCCTGCAGACCACCAACACATCAGGGTGCCCCCGCTCCCAGAGCCCCCTGGGCTTGCTCTGGGTGGTGGGACGTTAACAATGAAAGCAGAGGCTGGGAATGCCTTGGGCGCCCGAGACCCCACGTGGGGAAGCCTGAGCTGGCCATCTGGGAGACAAACGTCAAGGAGCAGGGCCGCAAGGCCCCAGGCACCCACTGTGGCTACGAGGAACCCCAGGTGAGGCCAAAGCAGAACGGTCCCGCCAACCCACCTAAAATGCTGGCCCACAGCATCGTGAGCAAGTCAGTGAGGGCCGCCTCATGCTGCTCAGCCTTGGAGCTCTCAAATGGCAGTGACCACAGCCACATCCCCAGATGCAGGGAGCACCCACTTAAAGAGGCCCGAAAAGGCAGGGGGCTTGGGCCAGGGCAGACCAGGAGCAGCAGTCCCCAGAGCTGTTGCCTGGCGCTGGTCAGGAGGCAGGCTCCAGGGCCACCCAGGCTTCCTGGTCAGAAGCACATTTAAACCACCCCACTGAACCTCCTGACCCACATAGCGTGAAGAGGATTATGTGGCCCCAAAACCCACGTGGCCAAACCTGGCTCCCAGCTGCCTCCCCATCCTTCAACAAACTGTGTGGGCCAGGCCCTGAGGCAAAAGGTGCTGTCTCTGCCCTCAGACCGGCAAGAAGAGGGAGGCAGGCCGGACCGGGTGCTGGGCGGGGGTGGGGAGATGCTCACAGGGCTGCGGGGCTCCGAGCAGCCCTGGTGTGTGTGCACATCCAGCGGGACAGTGAGTTACGTCAGATGAGAGACAACCCTGTGTCCTGTGGGTGTCCACGAGCCTGACCTCTCACACCAATGCAGCAACTTCCATCACGGAGATGACCCCAAACATCCCTCCAATTTCCCCAACGCCACACAGGTGGAGCCTTTGCTGTAGAGCCAGCGGGGCAAGGGTGGGGAGATCAGCGGGGGATCAGGCTGCCTGGAGAAAGTAAAGTCCAGGAAGCAGCATGCCAAGGGCCCCAGCAAGAAGCTGTGACCATGCTGGGGCGTGCTTGGGGACGGGGCAGGCCGTTCTTGGGGAGCCTGTGTTCTGGCATGGAGACGGCCGCCAAGAGAGAAAAGGCTGGAAGGTAGAATGGCCCTAAGAGAAGGAGCCCGGCCCCCCCGCAGGCCCTTCCCTCCACACTCAGCCCCTTGCCCCACTTCCTGAAACTTCCAAGCTCCCTCCTACCCCACCCCCACCTGCTGCCCCACCCATGCCACCCCACCCTCACCGTCTCTCTCAACACTTCTCGACTCCCGGGATCACACACACACAGTTCTGCTGTGAGCCCAGTGTGGGCCTGGGGCTGTCTCAGGCCTGCTCCCTGCTGCGTGTGGGACCCAGGATGCCTGGCCCAGGACAGCCACCTGCAGTCAGCAAGTGAATGAATGAATAATGAACGCACAGCAGAGGGAGTGAACGACCTCCCTCCACTCGGCAGGGTTCGGGGCCAGCAGGCGGCTGCTGGTCTGAAGGCCACGTCCACTCTGCCGTCACCAGGGGGAAGAAGTCAGGCTGAGCGTGCACAGCTGTGTGAGTGTGTGCGTGACCCTGTGGACACCCGTTTAACATCTGCATGTGTGTGGCCCACACCTGGTGTTCCTGGGGCAGAGCCCCCTCCACCCAGGCTGTCCCCGTGTTGGGGCACCACCTGGCAGCACAGCCAAGCCCTGGCTTCATCGTGTGCCAAGCCCGCAAGAGGGCGAGGGCAGCAGCTAACACACCTAGCCCAATGATGCCCAAGGTCTCCCCACGGATCCTCGCGGCTCCGGAAGCCACTTCGCGGATCTGCTCGACGCTCTGCACTCGGGTGCCCTCTCGCAGTGCCTGGTGCAGCCAGGTGGTTCTTCGGTAGAGGTTGAGGATGTGGCACATGGTGGAGTCTGCAGTCTCCTCCACGGACGCCGCCGGCACGTTGCAGACAGCGATGCCTGGGGACACAAGACACGTGTGACGGTCACCAGAGCCCATCCTGACACTTCACCTGTGAAAGGCCCAAGGACACGTCCCTGAGCCACCAGAGGCTATGAGACAAAGGCACGTTACATGCTCCGTGCCCTGTGGAAAAGCCACCTGTGGGTCCAGCAGGTGGATGGGGTGGGGGACAGGAGAGGCTGCCCGGGCAGAGGCCAACACCAGTTCTGCCCCGCATGGACCACCTGCCACAGGACCTTCTGGGAAGGGGTCACAGCCAGGCTGGAACTCGGAGCCAGCCCCACAGCCACTGACACCCACACAGGTACAGCCCCTCCTGCCTTCCACAGCTCCCCAGGCCAATTGGGGCCTGGCTTTGGGGTGGCCTCCGTCCTCCCAGCCCGCACAGCCCCTAGGAACAGCAACAGTGGGGTGGCGGTGGGTACGCAGGGCTTGCACATCAGAGTGGACCCCAGGATGTGTGATGTCCAACAGCAGCTCCCATGAGTCTGCGGTTCCTGAAGCTTCGTCCTAGAAGAGAAGGGCCCTACTGGGCCTGAGCACCCCGCCCAGCCGAGGCAAGAAAGGGAGAGGAGAGAGCAGAACGCAGGAGGCTGTAGCCAGCGGGGTGCGGGCCAGTGCTCCTTGTTAGGTCTCAGTAGGGGTGTGAATCACAGTTGCGTGTGTCCTAAGTCAGTATAAACTGCCTTTCCCACTGTGTCTTGGGGCTGGGACACGTGAAACCCTACAGGGACGTGCGGGCTGCCTGCCCAGCTGCAGAAGCCGCAGGACAGAGAGGACAGCCCAGCAAGGCTTTCTCAGGAAGGCCACCTGGACCTGCTCCTGCCCTGATGGGGCGCCGGGCCCACCAGCGCCCGGCACAAGTCACCTTCCACCAAACCAGACGCCCGGCAGGATGGCCCAGGTGTGAGGCTGAACGGGCAGACACAGCAAAGCTGATGAGCTCACGCCGGAAGGGCGGCCGGGACCGCACAGGGGAGCATTGGGGCGCCCTACCTAAGTCCCCCGCCGACTTGATGTCGATGTTGTCAAAGCCGCTGCCGATCCGCACGATTATTCGGAGGGCTTTGAACTTCTCCAGGTCCTCCCTCGTCAGCGTGATGGTGTGGTACATGAGCGCGCCCACGGCCTCGTTCAGCACCTGGGGGAAGGCGGCGCACAGCATGAGCGCTCGGCCTGCCGCTCCTGGACGCCAGCGGCCCAAGAACCAGCCCGCAGCCCGGAGCGGCCCCGCGGACGCTTCCCCCGAGTCCGCGCCCGCCCAGGTTCCCGCAGCTTCCCAACCAGCCTCCTCCCGGTGCTGCGCCGCAGGCCTTCTCCGGGCGGAAGCCGCCCAACGCCCGCTCGTGACTCTCAGGTGACCGGAGGCGACCCTGCTCACTCTCCGCTCAGACTTGTCCGGGAAGCCAAGAGTCCCTCCCTCGCGTCACGGCGCCCACGCAGGAGGCAGCGCACAGTCAGCCCGCGGGAGCGACGCGGAGAAGACGCGGGGCGTGGCGGGCTTACCTCCCCGGCGGGCATCAGACGCAGACGCGGCGCGTCCAAAACCCCAGACCCTGCCAGCGGGGTGACAAACTGCTGCCAGGACAGGAGCAGCGCCACGCGGAGCCGCGAATAAACGCCCTGCAGAGACGCAGGCTGAGTCCACGACAACGAGGAAAACCCGGGAAGAAGCCGCCCTCGGTCTCACACGCAGAGGCCGGGTGGATACGCCGACGCCCCCGGCCGCGGGGCCGGGCTGGCAGGTTGGTGCACGCGCCCCACGCGCGCTCGGGCGGCCTCGCCACCCGCGGCCCCCGGGGCGTCAGGCGGCGTCTCTGCGCCTCTCGGAAGCGTGGCCGTGGGCCGGTCCCCAACACGCTTGGGGGGGGCTCCGGGCACGCGGGGCAGCTGCGGCCGGCACAGCCCTGCACGTCGGCGGGCCTGTGTGGCGGCTCCACGCGGAGCCCACGCGGGCACCGGGGGCCGCGTCTCCTGAGTTTGGGTGACACGGACGCCAGCGCCGCTACCACCACCCGCGGGGCTCCGCGAGAACTCCGTGCAGGTGGAGGCGGGCGGGGCCTGCTTCGGCCGTGAGCGCCCCGCCCCCGCCAGGCTATGGGAGTCGCGAGGGACACTGGCAACGGCCAGACGCGGGCCGAGGACCCACAGCGTCCAGTTTCTGGGCCCAAGAGCAGGGGGCCGCGGGGCTCCAGACGCACGTGTGATCCACGACGTGTCGTGGTCGGGGGACACAGCAGTGGGCCCCTCAAATTCAGGGGCACGCAGCGGCTGCTGTGTCCTGCACCCTCTCCTGCAGTCGGCTCCTCCTGTACTGGCCCCGGGTCCCCGGGAGGCGCGCCGCGAGGACTGGCCGTGCGCAGGCTGCCAGAGGGAGAAGCCTGCGCCTCGGGAGCCCAGACTCCGACCCTGCGGGGAGCGGAGGAGAGCGAGCGTCCGGGTGTGGACAGAGAGCTGCCCAGGACACGGACACTTCCCTCCGAGGACGGCAGGGCAGCCCCGAGGGACCACACAGGTGGGGCCAGGCCGGGGTGGCCTGGACTCTTCCAAGGGGAAGGGAAGGTCGGGTGCTGCCCGGGCCCGTGCCCGGAAGAGCCCAGGAATCCGCGCTCCTGGAGGCAGAGAGCTGCTGAGGAGCCTGGATGAGGGGCGGGCACTGCTGTGAAAAGAGCAGAAACCCCAACCGGACTGGACGTGGAAGGCCTGCGGGGGGCCCGCCCATCCCACTGGTCAGTTACGCCAAACCGGAAGCGAGGCCCCTTCACTGCGGGAGGAAGACTTCTCTCCCTGCCAGGCAACAGCGCAGCCAACGGGAAACGCCGCAGCTCAGCCAATGAGAAGCCATGGCCGCCCTGAACTGTTCCTCTCCCCCCGCGGACCTTCCTTTAGAAGAGCCCCCCGCTCCCCCCCCCCCCCCCCCGCCCCGTTTCTCTATAAAAGCAGCTCCCTCCTTTGTTCCCTGGATTTGCCTGTGGTTCACCAGAGCACGCACGTCCTGAACTGCAATTCTTTTTGCTATTCCCGAATAAACTCATTCTGCGGATAAAATAACAGGGGAATTTGCGTTTTAAGTTGACACTGCCCACGTCCTGATGGCTGTCCCTGGCCTCCTGGAAAGATGTCAAAGCCACATGTGGACACAGACCTCTGGTGCCCTGACTGGACCTGGTGTGGACGGGCAAGGAGCCATGTGATGGCAGAGTAGCAGCCAGAACCCATGGGAAGGAGGGGGTTAACCAGGAGCATGTGGGGACGGTGGACAGGAAGTGGAGACCCCCCAGCAGTGGAGGTGGCAAGGACCATGGGGCAGAGGGGAGGGACAGGGCTCGGCGGTGGGACCCCTGGAAGACCCCTCTGGCTGCCCTGTGCTGCATGGACTGGAGACAGGATGGCCACAAGAGCTGGTGAGTGGGACCCCCGCGGCAGGTGAGGCAGGGGGCCACAGGGCAAGGTGCATGTAGACATTTGTCAGTGCTCACTGTGGGCAGGCACAGCCATGCACCAGAAATGGAGAGATGGATGCACCTGAGCAAGTGTCAAGATGAGTAGCCCTGGACTTGGGGACAGATAAACTGTGGAGGGGGAGGCTCCGGAGGAGAGCCTGAGTCCCCGGACAGACAGACCCTCGCAGCACGGGCAGGTGTGTCACATGGCAGCTTGCATTCTATCCTGAGCATTTAACAAGGGCAGGTCACACTCTTCAGTCTTGATTTGCAGGTGTCCCATGTGGAGTACCAACATGGAGGGTCCATAATTTGTCTGAACTTGCCTACTGCTGGGACGTTCGGGTTGCTGCCAATACTGGCTGTACTGCAATAACAATCTGTGTATTTGTCTTACTTCCTTGAGACAAGTTGTTAGAAACAGGGAACCCACTTTAAGGCTCTGGGTGCTGCTGCCTGCTGTGCCCGGAGGATGACTCACCGGCCATCACCGGGCACTCCAGAGTTTAAAATGCTACATGTAATGGATGCAAACTGGAATCCATTATTTTAGCTTTAATTTGCATTTCTCAGTGTGACTTGCCCACATATGTCTCTTGGTAAACTATTTTTTTCATGTCCTAGTTCTTTTTCTACTGAGCATATTTTTAATCACACAGTACTAGGTGCAGTGTTCTCAGAACAGGATGAGCATTATCCCCCACCCCGCACCAGGGAGGCCTGTGCTCAGCTGCAGGATGAAAGCCCACCGCAGCAGGGGCTCTGTCCAAAGTCCACAGGCCAAGGCCACTGCAGCTGCTGCATCCACTCCCCTGGCAGGTTCTTCATATTCCCTTTCATGGTGAGCAAGTGGCTGCGACACTGGGGCCATCACAGCAACCTCCCAGGGAGGAAGCCCCAGGCCAAGTCTGTGCCCTCAGATTGGGAACCAGCAGCCTCCCAAAAGCCATCCTAGCAGACGTCCACTCACGTCACGTCACCCTCCACTAGCTATGTGGTCAGGCTAGTGACTTAACTCAGTGTCCTCAACTCCAGCATGGGGTTCGCATGAGTCCCTTCTTGACTCAGAAGGCTGAGCACAGGCCCCTGGGTGCTCCTGGTGGCAGCAGGGCCTGAGGGGTACTCGCCAGGCACCACCCCAAAGAAAAGCCAGGGTTTGGCTGGTCAGGAATATGTACACTGGTGGGCACCAGCCCTGGCCTCGAACACCCTCCATCCTGGGGCAGGGGTGGGCCTGCCACGCTCCCTTCACACAGTCACACACACGCTGTGCCGGCTCACGAGCCCTCAGTCTTCTTCACACCGTACTCATCTTTCCAGGTCCACACGCACAGGCATGGCCTACTCTATGGAACTGCTGCTCAGAGAGGCACAGCGGTGACACACCATGCACCAACACACGTGTAGATCGTTCTGGATGTTTCTCTACAACAAACAGGCGCATGCAGGCCAGAGTGTGATGCTGGGCTGAAGACTGCAGCTGCAAGTTTCCTCAGAAGTGCCAAAGCGCCATCGAGACCGGCAGTGGCAATGTGGACCCCACGAGCACGCAGGTGCACCAGCCAAGCCCTGGCTGTACCTGGTGCCGTGGGCATGAGGGGGCCGGCGCCTGCCTCCTCGGTTTTCACCCAAACACCCGCCTCGCCGGCGTCCTGCTGGCATCTGTCTTCTTCCAGGGGGGCTGTGATGCCGCAGACCCCCCCACAGGTCTTCACACTTGCCGCTTTTTCGATTGTTTCTGGCGGCCTTTGCCCAACGACTTCCTCCCGAGCCCTGTCTTCTGCAGAACTGACCCTTTGTTCCGCTCCATCCAGGGCAGCAGACGCATCCCCTCCACATGTGCTGCCAACACTTTCACGACCACGTGTGCAGGAGCCAGGGCCATCCTGTGTCCCCAAGGCGCACAGACTGAGAGCCACTTGCCGTCCTCAGGCCTGGGACAGGGCTGTTTTGGGGTCCCTCCTGCCCTCTGCTGCCCCCCACTTACTGCAAAACCCATTTCTGTGTTTTTCCGAGATTTCTATTTCATTTCTTACTCTGCCCCAGCACCTACCTCCCAGGACAGGGCGCTCCACTCCCGCCAGGTCCCCCACGAGGGCCTCAAGGTGCTTTCTGTGTACACTTGCAACCCTTCCTTAAGCACATCCCCAAGTTACTCCCTCATCCTTGCACCTCGATGGGATCCCGCTTTCCCAGAAAGGCCCCTTGGGGACTCCCGGCACCTGCTCCAGGCTGGCTGGCTTCCCAGGGGGAGGACAGCACCACCCGACGCCACCCCGGCCCCCTCGACGGAAGCGCCATTTCGTGGTTCCTGGGTCTTCCTTCCCACAGCTGCCCATCACATGTGCCTGTCCTTAGTGGGATCACCATGATGTGGCTGAGAAACAGGCCTCCCTGACATTCGACCAGCAGTTTGCTCTGAGGCACAGGCCTGGGTGAAACGCATTCTCCGCAGATGCTTTAATTTGCCCAGTGTAGGGCTGGGCAGATTCCTATCTCTGCAGGTAAGACCTCACCCCCGGGCTTGGTGAAGTCCAAACTTGAATGGCGCCCCACTGACACTCGTCCTGTGTTGGTGGCAGGAGAGCTGGAGTCTCCACGTGGCTCTGGAAGTTTCCTTCATCATGTTGTGGTGATGACATCACAATCTCTCCTGCTACAACACTCAGATAATGTTCAACTGGCTATGAGGAGGCAGAAAGCCTGATCAACAGTGACCCATGAGCCAGGCTGTTATTTCCCTCCCACGCTGCCTGCAGACGGGGGTCCAGGGGTCCTGTGTCAGCTCCACAGCCACCAGAGGCCTGGGCTCCTGTCTTCTTGCTCCACCCTTCCCAGCACATGGCTTCTCCTCATGGTCCAGGTGGCGCCCAGGCTGCAGCCATCACATCTGGTTTCCAGCCAGGAGAAAGAGGGAAGGCACCATGCACACAAGCCTGCTTACCTTTCCCTGGCTGGACTTAGTCACTTGGCCACACCTGGCAGCAAAGCTTGGGAAAGGAAGTGCTTATTCAGGACTCGAGTCCACTGGGAAACAGGACCCCAGAGGGCTACGTCTGCACAGGCATGCTGGATGCAGAGCTCCTGGGGGTCTGTGCGCCTCTCCTTTTTCCTTATCACTTCCATCTTTCTTCTGGGCTTCCCCTACCCATATTTTCCAAGCGTCCTATTAAAATGTCGGTTTTCCACTCACGTGTTTAATTTCCAAGGCCTAGTTCTCTGACGATCCCCTTCTCGCTGCTGCTGCTCACTGCACAACCAGAGGTGAGTTCCGACCTCTGAGGACACTGTGACGCAGGTCCTAGCACGCTCTTCCAGCCAAAACACAAGTCCGTCCCTGGAACAGCTTCTCTGTGCACTTATCTGTTCTCTAGCAGACATAACCCCATACCAGGCCTTGACTGTGGAGGGCGGAATCCGTCTGTCTGTCTGTCTGTGGTGGGGACAGAGTCTGCCATCACGTGAGGGCCCTACCCCTGCGCCTGCCCCCATTGTCTGTTAACTTGCTAATTTGGGTTTTATATTAACTTCTTGAGGTAAATTACAATTTTAGAAAAAAACATGTTTTGTCTTGGCTTTGAAATTTATTGACAAAACTTGTTTTAATATTAGTTATAACTTTTAAAAATTTCTATCCGTATGTCTCTTTTCCATTCCATATATGTTTTCTTTAAAAATATCTTTTTTAGTTTGAAATAGGTTAAGATTCACAACAAGCTGCCAGAATGGTACCGAGGCATCGCGTGCAGAGCACCCCGCATGTGACAGGTCGTTTGTGCCCCTTCGTCAGTTCTGCCGTCTCTCCCTGCACGTGGGCAGGTGTGCAGGTCTATGTAATCTCATCACGCCGACTCGAGCAGCGGCCACCACAGCAGGACGCAGGACACACTGCCCTCAGCGTAAAGAAGTACCCTTGTGTTGGCTCTACAGTCACACGCTTCCCCCACCAGGACGCTGGACCCGTCCGTCCTCACCACCACTGTCCCGTCATGGGAGAAGGGACAGAACCACACAGCGTGGACCCTGAGAACCTGCTTTTCTCGCCCCAGAGCCCCATCCGGTGTGTCGCTGCCTCCACGGCTCCTGTGCTGTCACTGCTGACAGCCCCCTGGCAGACGCAGGCTGGCGCAAGGCCACCCAAGCTTTCTGGTTCCAGCTGTCGGGAACACAGCTGCCGGGCACATCCATGCAGGTTTTTGTACAGACGTGTGCTTCGTTTCTCTGGAACAAGCACCAGAAGCATGACCGTGAGGGCACGTCACCAGCGTGTGCTCAGCTTTATGAGAAGCCCCTGGCGTCTTCCGAAGGGGCTGTCCCGCTGTGCGTTCCGCGACTTGCCTGGCCTTCCCACCATCGACTGCTGTCTCCTGTCGGCTCTGGAGAACCGTCAGCCGTGGCCTCCTTGCACTGTGCCTCTGGCCCATCACCCTCATCCACGCTGCGGCGAGAAGCTGCGAATGTGCCCCCGGTGCCCTCTCCTGTCTCCTGGCGCCCAGCCCCTTCCCGCCTGCTGACCCTGACCTGCTGCGGGCCCTGCAGGCGAGGCCTCATCCCAGCTTGGCTATTTCCCAGCTCTGGATCTTCTAGACTCTTCCCCCACATCTGCCGCCTCGCTTTCCACAGTGATCAGCTCCTCGCCCAAGGCGCAAGCTCCGTTCTTCGCTCTGGCCATGCCATCCACCTGGCTCCGGGTCAGCCCTGTGGTTGGTTTCTGCTGGTTTTGCTCACGGCTCTCGTGTCCTCTACTGCCCGGTGGTCTGTGACCGTGTGATGGATGCTGTACTAGAAATGATTTGGAGAAATGACTGGAGCCCTAGGCTGGTGGTGCCTTCCTCCCAGGACTGTCCGCCGTTTCCGTGAGGCGCCGGGCATGCGGTGCGGGTCGCCTGGGATCCAAGTTCAAGCCTTGATGCAGATGTTATGGGGCTGGATGGCAGCTTATGTAAGGGTGCGTTTGGTTCCAGTTCATCCTTTCTCCAGGGTCTCAACCCAGAGCAGGGTCGTCCCACAGGGTCCCATCCTTGGCAGGCCCATGAGGCTGCCAAAGCCGCCTCAACCTCTCAGCCCAGGTCCAAAACGGCAGGGCCTGCCCATCCCCGCCAATCCGGGCCTCTCCTGATCATCTTAGTTCTTGGCTGCTTTTAAGTTTTTTAAACCTCCGTCCAGCTTCTTCTGCTGTCTCAGTGGAAGTGCTTACTTGGCAGTGACTACAAACAGAAACAGATTGCATTTCACATCACGGGGATCCAGGGAGCTGAGGACGCAAATCATGGAAGTTGCCCCAAAGCTGCAAATCACTGGAATGGCAGCCCCAGGGGCATCCTGGATGCATGCTGAGGCTCTCCGTGCTGACCGGGGCCCAGGAGGATCTCCATGCCCTCAGGACTCACTTCCTGGGAAAAAACTGGCTATAGTGGAGATGACTCAAGAGAAAATCCTGTCTCCACCATCTGACAGAGCCGGGTGACGATGACAGAAGCGCTCTTGTCTTGGGGGAGTGGGAGCCACTGAGGAGGGTGCCTTGGGGTCATCACCCGCTCAGGCACGGCCTGAGGGACCTGCTTGCCTGTGCCCCCGGCCCACCCGCCCTCCCACTGCCTGGCACCTCTGCCCGGTGTTACCTTCTCGTGGATCTCCTGTGTGGACTGCGCATCACAGAAGGCCACCGTGGCCACGTCCTTCAGGATGGGCATCTCGACCGTACAGTCCCGGCCATCGAGCAGCGCCACCAGGGGCCGGGGGTGCATGGGCCCGTTCATGATCGGAGGTCGGACGCCTGCAACGACAGGGCAGATGCTCAGCATCCTGCAGCAGCTCGGCCCCGGCTAAGACCTCGCTCCAGCTGCCGCCTGCCGTCTGGAGCCAACACAGCCACCCCCGCGACTCTCTATTCTGCGTGTCCAGTCACCTGGATCTTTGTTAAAAGTATGTTAAACATCAGCGGGAAAAACAAACTGGTGCTCACTAAGCTCACTGGCGCTGCATAGACGCAGACTGGGGTGGCCATCGCCACCCCCACAGGGTGCAGGCCACAAAGCCGCGTGAAGACACGGGCAGTCCTGCAAAGCAGGGAGGGCAGGGGTCCCTGTGCCCCACCCCAGCAGCAGGGTCTTCCCCACGTGACACTGGACATGCAGACCCTAACATAACGGGCTTTGGGAACACGCCCTGGGGTGTCGCTTCTGTCCCAGGCTGCAGGGTGGCTGCCCAGAAACCCCGACTGCAACACGACGTGCCTGGCGCCATTCCTGTTTGCAGACTGAAAGGGTGAGAAGCTGTGTGGAGGCGGAGGAGTTCTAGCACTGGACACAGCCAGGCCAGACCCCACCCCCCTTCCCCAAACACGACGACGCAAACCACCAAAGCAGACTTATTCCACGAGCGGGGCAGCCACTCCTCCTCCTGGGCCGAGGAGGAGATGAGGGCTAAAGGGTGACACTCAAGACAGGCACTGCCGCTGCCTCCATGGCCACGCAAGACCTGCCAGGCAGCCGACCACACAGCGCTGTGAATGCCCAGCCAGCACAGGGCAACATACGGGGCACGGGACAAGGACCTGGAAGGTGCCCATCAGCAGCCGCTGCTCCTGCAGGTGTGCCACTCAGCCTTGCCCACGTGGACGGCGAAGACCTGCCCCAGGCCAGCGGTTCTCAGCGTGGGCCTTGCAAGGCCAGGGCCACTTCTTGGTTTGCCTCCCCTGGCTCTCAGGCAAGCGCGTGAGCAGGCGGCATGGTTCCAGGCCGACCCCCCTGACCACGGTGCGGCACACGGGCACCGTGCGCTGTCACACCAGTCAGCAGACGGCCGCACAGACAGTGCCCTCACCTCTCCAGCTGTGCTTGGAGAGCAGGAACTTCTACTTTGAGAAGATCGCTGACTCCAGCAGGTGAGAGGCTATTGTCGCTATTTTTTTAAGTGAACTGATAAATGCCTACTTTCAGCATTCCTCAGCTTTGATGTCTAACGAACATCAAGCCTGACGACCCACGTGGGCCAAGCTCTCGCAGTCCTTGTGTACTTGGGCCGTACGGCAGGCTGCAGGGCACAGGCTGCATCTGCCACCGAGGCTGGACCTGACGCCACTGCCCGCCTCGGGGAAGACAGCTGGGCGCTGGGAAGGCCTGGCTGCGCCCCGGCTGGGACCTCCCAAGGGAGAGCACACTGTGACTGGGTGAGGAGCAGAGAAAACAGCATCCGCAGGGCTGCCCCAAGGCAGTGCCACGGCCCTACCGACCGACTGACGACCCCCGTCGCCCAGGGAGGCGCCGGGCCTCCCACCACGCAGCCAGGGCCCAATCAGGCCTCGATTTCAGCAGCAAGGTCCTAACCCAGCACTGCGTTCGCTGGCAGAGCGATCAAAGCAAACCCAACGCCTGGCTGCTCCCCAGCTGGGTGGTGGCTGAGACTTCAGGCCTCCATCCAGGCCCAGGACCTGCCCTCGCTCTGCCGCACGTGGGCCTGGCTGACACCCACCTCCTTTGGGACACTTCTCGACAGAAACCAGCCACAGCAGCAAGTGCCACGTGAGGCCCGACGGAGGCCTGCACCCGACTCTGCCGCTGGCCACGGGCCCAGGCTGCTTCCCCAGAAAGCAGAGAAAGGCTCCTGCGGGGCACGTGGGTGTCTTAGCCCCACACGCTCCCCTTTCTAAGGCACGGGCCACCCTGGATGGAACAGCCAGCATGACCGCCACCGTCAGCTGCAGCCTCCTCTGCCGTGCTGGGGGCCGGCTTTGGCGACCTCACGCTCCAGGAGCCCCAACCAACCTGACATTTCTTAATATGGGCTCGGCTTCCAGGACCATGAATTCGACTTTTCAAAGCGTTTTATCTTCAGAATCCCCAGGCAGAACCGCGTCCTGTCACTGGATCCTCATCCCACGTCTTTAATTGTCTCGAACCAAAGCTTTTATGCTCCTGATCCACGGCGACCACTGAAGCCTGCGCCGGGGTCAAAGTCTGACTAAAAATTAAACACAAGAGACACGTTAAAACACCACTGAGGGTCGACTGGAACTCAAATTCCAGAAGCTCCAGGAGGGCAAAACTTCTCACTGCCTCCTCGACCCGAGTCCGTGGCTGCCAGTGGGGACCTACCTGGGCCAGGGCCCTGCCACGGCATGGGGGCGCACGAGGGGATGCAGCCAGGATGCAGACACAGAGAGGCTTACCCTCAAGGTCCAGCCCCACAGTCACCTCCACACACTCAGGAGCCCCCGCAGAGCACTGGCCCCACCCAGATGCCATGGGTGCCTACAAATCAGGAGGCTGGGGGCACCGGGCGTGGGAAGAGGGGGGCACTGGGAGTGGGTCTGCGACCAGTTCTGGAAGCTTCTATCTCATGTTGCCAATAGCTTCCTGGGCCTCTGTGACTGGGCAGGGAGAGTGGACTTCCAACAACGCCGCCAGGGGAAGGGGCCGTGGGATGCAGGCCCTGACACAGCCACTTTCCTGCATGCCACCCGGGGCCCCAGGGCTGGGGCTGTCCCCAGGCTTGTGCATACAGTCATCCTCCACACCGGTCCCTGCCCACCCCACAGGCAGCGTCCCAGGGAGGCACTCAATCCAGGCGTGGGTCTCCCAAAAATGCTGCGCAGCTCTTCCTGAGGTCAGGGTAACCGGGGACAGTGGCCAGTGCCTGACGGGGCGCTGAGGGAATACACAGGTCAGGCACCGGTCACAGACTTGGGACAAGGAGGTTTTGGAGGCTGGGAGTGAGCACGAACCGCCCAGCCCTCAGGGAGCGTGTCCTGACCCCCCAAGAACCTGGGCCCCGCTCTCGGTGCGAGGACACAGCACAGGGGCTGACCCAACGTGCAGCTGGACATCCTGCTGACCAGGCCCAGGCATGCCACAGACGCGCGCAGTGAGTGCAGGAGCGCTGCGGGCTGGAGCAGGGGCTCCACGGGGAAGGGAAGGTCTGTGGAGTGGAGGTCAGATGCTGCCACCCCCTGCCCACTGCCAGCCACAGGGTACCAGGCAGCCTGACCCCCATAACCAGGGACAGGCTGCAGCCTCAGAACGTGCACAGCACTCACCCTCGCCTGACCCCCGGCCGCAAGAACCAGGTCTGGAGCCAAGCGAGGCCTGGCCCCACGGCCTTCCCAGGACCCCATGGACGGGGCCGACGTTCACAGAACCGGCCACTTTACACAGCGCGGGTGGACCAGCGGGAGCCCTGCTGTCCTGAGCTGCATGCCTGGGCTGAGGTCGGATGGCCCTGCTGACTCGAAGCCCCCCAAACACGCTGACCAGTGGCCCCTCGGGAGCCCGCTCACCCTCAGTGTTCTGGGGTCTGCCTGATCTCTGCTCCTGCCCCAACAGCAGACCTGCTTTCTACCCAGACCGCACGCAGGCCCGAGTCCTCTGCTGATTCGGCTCAAGTACGCAGAGCCAGCCCCTCTGGAGAAGCCACAGCCGGGCCAGCCAAGTGCAGCCCAAGGCAACTCGGGGACGGGTGGTGGCAGGGGAGCAGGAAGGCAGCCAGCATGGCCACGAGTCTCTAAGAGGAGGATTTGAAAAGGAAGCTTCGCTTTGCCAGTGCCAAGCCCAGGAGGGGCCTGAAAGGAACGGGAGTGTGTTCCCTACTGTGGGCTAGGTGCCCGCCAGGGGAGCGGCCGGCGGACGCAGGGCTCGAAGGCCAGCCTGCATCTGCTGCGGCCCGGGGCCAGGGCAGGTCCCAGGCCTGATGGGCTGAGAGACCCCTGGGCCCAGTGTGCAGACCAGAGGCGCCTCCACCCTGTTGTGTCTGGGTCTCACCCTCCCCCGTCAGCACCCCACAGGCCTCGGTGCCATGTGGACAGGATGACGACGTCTGCGTGGCCAGGGGAGGTGGGCCAAGCCCAGCAGCGGCTGTGACGTGGGAATTCGACCATCCCTAGTGCTAGGGGGCGCTCAAGGGGTGGAAACACCAACCTCCACCCTGTTTCTCGAAATAAACCCAACCGAAGCCCCTACAAGTGACTTCATCGCTCAAACAACAACACAAGAGCCACCTAGACACAGGAGGTGGCAGAGAAAACAAGGTAAAAGACTGGACAAGACCACACCAGCCGAGGAGGCCGGGCCACAGACAGGCGGCTCCTGAGTGACGGGCGAGCTGCGAGAGCAAAGCCAGCGATCTGCCCCAGGGACCACAAGGCCACCAGGCCCACCGGTACCTGTGGTGCCTCCTATGGCCACCCCTGCCCCAGACACCCCTGCACAGCTCCTACAAGACGTGGCCCCAGGCCAGGGCCTCTGGGGCTTCTGCCCTACAGGGCACAGCCACACATTCAACAAGGGGATGAAGGGATGGCCGAAGGAGCAAGGCCTGTGGCCAGCGGGCATGGACCCCGGGTGGGTCATCTCCTACCCATTCCCCATGGGTGCACTGCTGCCCGTGAGCACTGAGGCTCGTGCCCCCCCCTCCACCTCCACCCTGTTCCCCCTGCCCTGCCGGGGTCCATCCACGGCTACCCCGCCATGTGCTCCCGGCGCCTACACCGCCTGGCTCCCTCTCCCTCGCAGTGACCAACAGAAGTCTCCCGAGAGCCACTGGCCCATGAATGGCAGGAGCCAGCAGGGTCTGCGCCCACCTGGAGCCTCAGCAACGCCCAGCCCCGACTGCCCTGCGGCCCAGCTGAGCCACGGTGGGCCTGCGGCTGGGTCATGGCTAGGATGGGGTCTTGGCCAGAAGCCCCCCAGACTCCAGATATGCCCACCCTGCCCCCTTCCCAGAAAGTGGCCCAGGTCTGGGAGGGTGGGCAGGTTGGACATAGGGCCAGTGCCTTGCAAACAAATTCTAGGGACAAGACACTATAGGGACGGCCCCAGCCCCCTCAGTGACCCTGGTGAGGGGTCCATCCTGGCGAGTGGGCAGCTGGTGCCCAGAAACACCTGCCAGGGCAATGACTTGGTCCCCTAGGCAGCAGGGGCCGGCCAGGGAGCTCAGACAGGTCTCATATTCACATTGGGCTGGCCCCAGGCTCTCAGGTACCTCAAGGCCCTCCCCTGGTCAGCCCCAGACCCAGTGCTCTGAGCATGCAGGACAGGCCCGTGCAGCCAGGATGTGGCCCAGCCCTGCAGCCCTCCCTCCAGTTCACAAACCCGAGCTCCTGCCCTCACCCATCGCACTCTCCCCACAGCTGGTCCCCGACGGGCAGGGCTGCCAGGGCTGCCCGTGCCCCAGCACCTCCCCATACTCGACACTCTCAGGCTCCCTTCTCTTCCTCTGGCCTCTGCAGGCCTCGCCCCCACCCAGCCTTGCCCTTTGCCCCCGCTCCCCGCCCCCTGGGCCTCCTTGGCCACCTGCCCTACTCCGGTGTTCCACCTGGGGACGGACGCATGTGAGCTTTAGTTGGAGAGCCCTGGTTACAATCCAGCTCTGCCAGGACGGGGGCTTCCGAGGGCGCCCTGCCAGCATGTGGGGAGCGAGTGAACTCTGACATGCACGCCTGCTTTACGCCCCGACTCACATATGACGAGATGCTGTGGGAGGTGGTGGCTGTGGGGGCTGGCTGCCCACTGTGGGGGATGCAAGGCGCCCGCACCATGCCTTATGACCACGTGCACATACCACGTCCCAGCAACACGGCAAGGCGGTGGAAAACACAGTGACCAGCATGGCAGGTGAGGGGAAGTCTGTGCCAAGAGCCAGTGGGGTGGGGGCCCTGGACACCCCGCGCTGCTGGGCAGATGCTGGGAGCAGGGTGGCGGCAGGGCCCACTCACCCAGAGCAGATGCCCCTGCCAGCCGCTGCCCCAGCTCGGGCCCAGCAGAAAGGCATGCGATGAACATCACGCAGGCAGCCCCCGACCGTCCGCAGCACTCCTGCAGGGAGAGATGGTATGTGCTTGCTGCGCGCTCACGATGCAGCACCAAGCGGCAATGGGGCAGCGAGTGATGGTTGGGATTCAGCCGCGACACATGCACACACCAACAAAGGACGCCAACAACGGGGGCTGCGTGCAGGGCACTGGACACTCTCTGTACCATCTCTCTAATCTTCCTGTGAGTCTAAAACTACTCTACCGCTGGACAACTGGGGAGTGGCCTCACTCTGGTGTCTAGAGCGCACTCATTTTGGCCACCTCCACGCAGCTGACTCCTCAGTCGTCCCACCTGGCAGCCACTCCTGCCCTGCCCGGTCCTTGCCACGGCTCCCCACTGTGACTCTCAGGAGGGACCAGGGTTTGCAGCTGGCACATTCTGGGGTCACCCGAGGTGCCGAGCCCCGAGACCAATCACACCAGTGCCCCGGCACCAGTGTCTGCAGGAAGTGCCAGGGGTCCTGAGAGCCCTGCTCAGGCGACACTGTGCCCTGGACACAGGATCAGCGTCCCCAGCCAGCCCATGCCTCCCCTTGCAGCTCTGATGAGTATCTAAACTCAACGCACCCAGAACTCGCCCCCCGGAATGGGCCCTGCTTCCTCTCCAGCCTCAGTGACGGGCCTATGCTCCACCTGCTCAGGTCCCAAACTCACACACAGACACACAGGCTCTCTCACCCCACGCCCAGTCCACCAGCCAGTCTCCCTGATCCTAGGTGCTCCCCTCACTCCTCCATGGCCTCCGGCCGGGACACCACAGCCACTTCATCCCCAGGCTCCTCCCCACTGCAGCCAGAGGCTTTAGAAACAAAAACCAGAGCCTGTTACTCCACTAAGACCCTCTGCGCATGCCTTCCTCAGTAGGAAACGCAAGCTCCTTAGCACAGCTGGAGGCCCCGGCCCTGCCCACCTGTCCCTCTTCCTCCGTGAAGCTGGACGCTCAGCCAGAACAGGTGCACGTGGCCGGCTTCTTCTCGCTCTTCAGCTTAGCGCCATGGGTCACACCCTCCTGAAAGCCACCTCCCGCCGCGTCGCTGGCTGACCCTCACCCCAGTTCCCTCCGGCCGCGTCGCTGGCTGACCCTCACCCCGGCTCCCTCCGGCCATGTCGCTGGCTGACCCTCACCCAGGCTGACCCTCACCCCAGTTCCCTCCGGCCGCGTCGCTGGCTGACCCTCACCCCGGCTCCCTCCGGCCATGTCGCTGGCTGACCCTCACCCCGGCTGACCCTCACCCCGGCTCCCTCCGGCCATGTCGCTGGCTGACCCTCACCCCGGCTGACCCTCACCCCGGCTCCCTCCGGCCGCGTCGCTGGCTGACCCTCACCCCGGCTCCCTCCCGCCGCGTCGCTGGCTGACCCTCACTCCGGCTGACCCTCACCTGGCTCCCTCCCGGTGTGCCGCTCTGTCAGTAACCCAGCAGCCTTCTCTGGGGGGCAGTGAGGCATCACTCTGGCTGTCCCACCTGGAGGCCCTGAGGACCGGGCCGGGCCACGCTGCCTAGGGCATGGTCTGGCTGGGAAAAGTGCCCAACACGCCCTGAGAGCAGAGCCACATACTGTCTGGCAGGAACTGTGTGTGCAAAGGCGGCCAGGGTGCGCCCTCGGGCAATATGGGGCAGGTGACACGGGCCATATAAAACCTCCAGCAGGACTGACCAGCCAGGGCCAGCCTCGCACGTGCTGTGCTGTCCTCAATTCTCTGCAATGCAGGAAGGCTCCCCCCACGGCAGATGCTGAGTAGAGACTGTCACAAAAGACACAGACTTGTCACCAAGACCTTTCCCCATGCGTGTTCACCTAGACCACGTATTGTCACGTATGTACACGTGTGGTGCACGTATCCTGCTAGCTTTACACTTTGGAACCCTAGAAATGAGAACTTCATCCTCATCGAGAAAACGCTGGTTCATGCTCAGCAACTGGTGATTCAGGGAGCGTCACCTCCCTGTCCTTCGACCTGAGACGTTTTACAGCTGCTGCCGGGAGACCCCATGTGGGGACTCCGTCTCCAAGGCCTGGCCTCGCTGCAGGACACAGAAGTCTCAGACTCACAAGACCTCAGAGTTCACGGCCAGCCCACTGGGGACGCAGCCACTGCTACGGAAGGCCGGACGGGGGAGCCACAGGCAGCAAGCCCACCTCCGGACAGGCCTCGGCCACAGCTGGGGAGGGTCCAGAAAGGGCCCCCTTTGGGCTGTGGCCCAATCCCTGACCCATCCCACCAGCTGCACCCACAGGAATTTCTTCGGAGCCATCCTAGCTTCTAGTCCCACCAGGTTGGCACTCTCCTCCAAGGCCGAGCAGAGCTCCCGCCCTGGCACCATGCAGCCACCCCGGCCCCGGGCTGCAGCCAGGCTCCAGCGCTGACGGGGACATGAGGGACCACCTCCCTGAGGGTGACACTCATGTTAACGACCCAACTGCACTAAAAGCCTGCATCTGGCATCCGGTGTGACGACAACCCATGAGCTCTCTGGCTCCGTAGGAACACATGCATTTCCTCAGGAGACCCCTGGACAGACATGCGAGGGCCCCACACCAGTACGCAGCCCGTGGGCTGGTCTGCAGCCGAGCTTCGGGAGGAGATGTCCGTGACGCAGGGTGTGAAGTCTTGTCTGGAGTGGGGGGACGTGTGGCGTGCATCGCACCCAACCTGTGCAAACAGCAGGGCTGGGCCAGACACAGCCACCCTGGGCTATGAGCCAGATCTCCCTACAGAGTGAGGACCAGGACATGGCCTGGATTGGGTCCTCCTTCGTGCCACCAGCAGAGTGAAACTGTGAGCCTTCTAGAAGGAGAGTAGGCACAGGATAAAAAGCGTCACAAAGCAAACACCTTTGGCCAGGCCCTCCACGCCCAGAAGCCATGGGCAGGCAGGGGATCTGCCAGGAGAAGTTCCTGGCAACAAACGTGCTGCCAGCCGCAGACTCTGCGGCACGGACAAGCCTGCTCCCAGCTGCTCAGACTGGGCAACGCCCTGAGGGCACTGATACAGGAGGCTCCAAGGGCAGAGAAAAGCCCCATCACGGCCCAGTGCTCTGTGGCCCAAAGGAATCCCTCGCCAAGCGCTGGCTGCCACCAGGCTGGGGGGAGCCGAGGCCAGACACCCTCTGGACACTGAGGGCCCTTCTACTGCAGAGAGGTTCTCATCTCAGCCCAGGTCCCTCTGGCAAACATTTATGAACCTCCTACTATGTGACAACTCACCAGATAGCGAAACCTCACGTACAAATGCACACAGGGGTGCTCCCCCTCCCAGAACTGGCCCTGCCATGGGACCCTCACCAGGACCTCAGTGGGGCAGGTGGGACCAGCCCCTGCCTCCCCGTGTGTCCTCAGGCTGAACAGAAGAGGCCGGAAAGGATAGCTCAAAGCAGCCAGGAGCGAGGCAGGTTGAGCGGCCCGCATCCAGCATCCCAGCCCCGAGCCTGTTTCTTGGAATTGGAGAGGAGAGGAGAGCCACCCGTTAGGGCTGAGCAGGCCGAAACAGCACAAACCCCAGCGGAAGGGCTGGAAGAGCAGGTGGGCAGAACAGGGCCACACCTGCACACGGTGGGGACCGACGCAGCCCCAGGTGCACGTCCATCACAAGACATCACAGAGATGCCCCGACCAAAGCACGCAAAGACGGCGATGAAATCTGATGGAGAAGGAGCCGGGAGAGCTGAGGGCACAGAATGCATCGTCCCTGCAGGAAGTGCAGCCCCAGGGCAGGCGCCCCGAGCCAGGGGAAGGCGCAGGCACCACAGGAGCTGGAAGGAGGGACAACAGGCCAAAGCCGGGGACAGGGAGACTCCCCCATGACAAAGTCCAGCAGGACCCATGTGGCCCAGGTCAACAAAGCCCACATTCTAGGGCAGACGGAAGGCAAGCCCCAGACCGCACGCACTGCCAGGCCGACATCCAGGGACAGCGAGGACGACGGTGAACACACACAGCAGCTCCGAGTGGAGGCACTGCCCCTACCCCTAGCCCTGGTTCCTCCCTGCCCCTGCTCTGTTCTTGTCCCCAGCTCTGTCCCCCGACCTTGTCCCTGTCCCTGGTTCTCTCCCTGCCTGCTCCTGTCCCCAGCCGTAGCTATGCCCCTGGCCCTGTCCCCTGCCCTATGTCTCCGACCGTGCCCTCAACACTTGGCAAATGCTCACTCCTGTGATCCCACATCGCTTCACGCTGCCATCCTCACTTCACAGACACACACAGAGAGGTCACACGAGGAGCCCGAGACCACGCATGGATAAGGGCTGGGCTGGGATTCCCCCGGAGACAGGCGCAAGTCTGTGCTCTGGCCGGCTGTGGTCCCTCCTCCAAGGAGCCCGGGGGTGCTGACCCACACGAGTGGAGGGGCTGCATTGACCCCCTTGGCGGGTCTGCACCTGCTGCAGGAGCCCTAAATGCCTCCACTGCTGGGTCCAGCTTTCTGCTGAGGGCTCCTCTGTACGTTCTACACAAATGAATCTGCTACTCTTGAAGAGAACGGAGGTCCTGAGAACGGGAGGAAGGGTTCCGCACGCCAACGGCCACTGCCCCTGCTCTGGGCCCCCAACTACAACCTGACTTTCCAGCTGCCCTGGAAAGCAGGGGCGGGGTGAGCGATCCACCTCTGTGACTCCTTGGTTGAGGATACACGGAAGATAACCCATCCCGCTCCACTTCTCCACGCCCTAACCAATCAGGGAGGAGATGATCACTAGGCGGTCTGGCCTTAGCCAGGTTCCGGCTTCTCCAACGCGCCACCAGTGAAAGGCTCTTCTCCTGGGCATGCCGGAGGCGGTGCCCTCGTTTCTCAGCAGGCGGGCAGAGGGCAGGGCTGGGAACCCAGCCAGAGAAAGCTCTAGCCGCCAACCCACTGGCTCAGGTGCGGCTGCAGCTCCTCCCGCTGAGGCGACTCTGCAGGCTCCAGGGCACCGCGCAGAGGGAGAAGCGGGAAGAGGAAGCTGAGGGCCCTCACCCACCCAGGCCGCGGAGGACAGACAGACCACACGGCCCCTCCCCAGCCGCACCCCGGAACAGCCCCTCCCAGAAGGAGGCCCACGCGCTGGAAGTTGACAGGGAAGTGCAAAATGAGCAAGATGGCCACCGACAGCTGGGCAGAGCTTGAAGTGCACTGCCAAGGGGCACACACCGCGGCGGGGTCGAGCTGGGAGCAAAGCAACATCCACTCAGGGTGTCCCCAACCCGGCCTGCCCCCCCACAGCCCGGGCTCAGGGCCCCACCGGTGGTATGGGCCAGTCCCCAGTGCTGCCTAGAGCACCCATGCAGGTCCTCATTCTTTCAAAACACAACAGGGACAAACAGGTGCCTTGAAACAAACAGACCTGGGTCCAAATCTCTTGATTATTAAGGTGGAAGCAGCCTGGCTCAGAGAAGGAGCGGAGCACACGGTTTGCTGAGTTCAACCATGTGGGTGGCTGTCCCAGGCCCAGCTGCCGCCCACCTCCACCTCCTGGTCGGGGCAGGCCCCCCACCCACGTCTACCTGCCTGGACAGGCAGGCCCCTAGCTGCACAGTCAGGCCTGTCCAGCCACCCATGGAAACGCAGGCGCCTCCCCCCTCCTCCCGCCCCCGCCACGAGCCAAACGTTATAATTTTATACGTTTTTAAAGACTGGGTGATAAACTCAAATACCAGCACAAAGCCTGTGATAAAACTAAGCGCCAATAAGACGGCCTGAATAAACCCCAGCGGTGGAGGAGCGCTCGCCCTCCCTGCTCCTCCAGCAGAACCTCAGGCCAGGCCCACCTCTGCCCCCTCCCCTCCCCGCCCAAGCGGCCCAGCATCACCCCGCGCTGGGAGGCAGGGGACCCCGGAGGCAGGGGACCCGGAACGCAGGGGACCCCGGAGGGAGGGGACCCGGGAGCGAAGGGCCCGCCGCCTCGCGGGGCGCGGGGAGGTGGCGCGAGGTGACAGGCCCTGCAGTCCTCCGGCCAGCAGGGCAGGACGTTACCGTGCCCAGGAGACAGGCATCCTGTCCCTTCTCTCCGAGCCAGCTGTCGGCAGTTTCTCCCGTGTGTCCCGAAGTGTGTAACGGGGACACGAGGAACAGGGAGGTGACCTAGCGCGCGGCCGAGACCCGCGGGTCCGGAGTCCTGGAGGAGTGGGATGCCGAGGGTCCGAGGGTCAAGGGCCGGAGGCTGTAGGAGCTGTGGGTCCGAGGGGCTGGGGTCCGGGGGTCCGAGGGTCCCGGGATCAGGGGCCGGGGGTCCGAGAGGCCGGGGTCCGGGAGGGGCTGCGGGTCCGAGGGATCGGAGTCCCAGCGGGGCGAGCACTGGGGATCGGCGGGGCGCGACCCCGGGGCCCCGCTTCTGCAGGGTGGGACGGCCGGCGCCCCTTTGTGTCACCTGCGCGGGCGGCGGCGGGGGCGGGGCGGGCGTGACGGTGACGGCGGCGCAGGCGCACGCGCACTCGCACGCAGCAGCTCGCGCACGCGCGCGGCGCCCCGCCCCCGGCCCCGCCCCGAGCCGGAGGCGCGCGGAGGCCGGCGCGCACGCGCACTCGACACAAAGCCGGCGGCCCGCGCGCCCGCCCCGCCCCGCCCCGGCCCCGCCCCGCCCCGCCCGCGGCCGGAAGTGCGCGCGCGCGGCCTTACCGAGCGGCAGGCCCTTGTTGAGCAAGTGCGAGCTGCCCATTGAAAGGCGCGGGCGGCCGCGGGCCCCGACCAGTCCGGCGCGCTCCGCCGCGAGCCCGGCGCGTGGGGCGGCCTGGGCGCCGTCCGCTGCTCCGCCCGCTCGCCTGCGCCCGGGCGCCGCCGTGCCGAGCCGCGCCGCGCCGCGCCAGCAGCCGCTCCACCGGCGGGCGGGGACAGGGGCGCGCGCGCGGGCGGGGCTTCCGGCCCAGCAGCCTGCTGGTTCCCGGCGCGGCCGCCGCGCTGCACCACGCGGGCGGGCGGCTGCAGGCCGGGCCCGCCCGCTCCGCCGACGCCGACGCCGACGCCGCGGGGCTCCCTGCTGCCCCGCGCCCGCCCCGCGCACGTGCAGGCACCTGCCCCCGCCACACGCGCGCAAAAAAGCAGCGCACCTACCTGCCCGGTACACACACACACGCACGTGCACCTGCCCTGCACACGTACAGGCACCTGCCCCGCTCACGCGCACAGAAAAGCAGCACACGTACCTGTCTGGTACACACACGTGCACCCGCACACGCACGTGTATTTAGGCATGTACCTGCTCCGCACATGCACACGCTGGGCCCATCCTGCCCCGCACCTACCTGGCTCCGCTGGCGGCTCAAGGCCTGGCTAGAGAGCTCATGAGCAAGCTCATGGGTGCCTCATGGGTGCGAGTGGTTTAAATGTCCATGGGCCGAGGCGAGGAGGCACTGCAGGTGCTCAGCCCGTGCGGCCTTCGGGCTCCTGGCAGCTACAGGACAGCCGGAAGCTACCTGCGGACCTCGGACCTTGGAGGGTTTCTCTGGGAAAGCTTGGCCTTACACCTGGGCTCCTGGGATGAAGGAGGGGGCACGTCCCAACAAGGCGGCCTGGACAGGAGTCCCCGGAGCCAGCTTCCCCACCCAACGGTGAGCACAGTGCCAGGAGCCAACAGCAAGTAGCCAGAGCAGGGACTTCCCTCAACCCAGGTGGGGTCCCTGGAGGTGGCAGGTGTGGGTCCATGCCTGGGTCCTCTGGCCACGGCCTTCAGCACCGGAGAGAGTGGCCTGTGCTTAGTTCCAGAAGTCCAGAGGGGACCCAGCCCTGAGCGTCATGGGGGGCTCCCCTAGGGTGGGAGCTAGCCAGACCCCAAGGGGAGGTGATGGGGAAAGGCTAGAGGCCACCCCTGGGAGACCCTGATTCCCTAGAGCTGGAATGCTGTTTGGGCAGTGAAGACAGGCACCATAGCTGTCCTCTTAGGTAGAAGCACATTGTTAGAACAGAACAGCACTAAACTCTGGGTACAGCTCAGTGGAACACAGTGGATGATCCCGGAATCAACCCCGTTATCTATATGTTTTTAAAATTCATAAAGCCATGAGAAAGTGTGGGTGAATTCAATAAAGGATGATAGGGGACTGGGTCCCTATGTGCAAAACCAATGCTTTTAAACCCTCGCTTGGTGCTCACCTATGAAAATACCTCCCAAATCGAATTAATTAGAATGTGTAGGGAAAAAGAGAAAACAGGATATAAATGAGCAGTTAGCACACCTCTCAGAGAAGTTTCCTAAACGCAGATGCAGAGGAAGTCTCAAAGGAAAGATCAAAACTCCAGACCTGGGTGTGTGTCTCCCTCTCGTTCTCCCAGGCGGAGGTTTACTCATCTCACATGTTAACATCGTGTGGGACCAGACCCACTGATGTGGCCTGGGCCAGCTCCTCCAGCTCCTCCTGGCCTTCACGGTACCTCCAGCACTGAGACCCAGGGTGCCCCTTGATACCTGCCCCCTCCACCTCACAGCCCTCAGACAAGGGTCACCCCGCATCACTTTGTCCCTGAGAGTGGCCCCAGGATGTAAATCAGATTCCATCGTCCCCTGCTCAAAACCCTTTAAGGTTTCTCCTTGCACTACAGAGGAAATCCAGGCTTCTTATCACAGAAAGCCCTGGGCCCAGGCCACCGGTATCTGCCACTAATGTCCCTTTGGTTCTCCAGTCAGGCACCACCCCGCCCCTCCGCCCCCAGCCCAGCTTGCCATGCTGCAGCCACGTGGCTCTTCTTCCCACCAGCCACAGGGCCTTTGCACATGCAATTTCTGCTGCCTTCCTCTGCTTTTCCCATGGCCACCCTTATGCCTGGTAGAGCAGTTACTTTTCTGTCTGGGCTTTCTTCCTGCTATACTGTCAGCTCCTTGATGTCAGGGGCTGCTGCTCCCCCACTCCCATGTATTTGAGGTGGGAACTTGCTCAGTGGAGATGTGGGAAGGGTTGATGTACCCTTCTGAATGTGCCTGTCCCATGCATGCCTCCTCAATCCTCAGGACTGGCCAGAGGCACCAAGGCCACAGGCTCCCGCCTCCAAGAAGGGACCTGGGGATCAGTTGGGCCACCATGATGCCCTCCAGTCTCTCTCGCCCCCTATACCTTTGTGCATGGCCCTGAAGATCCTGAATTACCTTCAGAGAGCTGGCAGACCAGGAGGCCCAGGGGAAGCGCATCCCTGCCCCGGTTGTCTCCACCACGGCCCCCAGGGTGGACCCTGACACCCAGGACAGTGCCACCCACCCAGCCTGGCCCGTCTCAGCTGTCACCACCCTGCGAAGCTGTCCGCTCCCAGGAAAACTCCCCCTCCCCCCGGAGGACAGGACTGGAGGATCCCCACCCCTTCGTTCTTCAGCTAGACCCGGGGCCGCAGTGCATCCTGGTAACTCAGCTCTCTCCGCTGAAGCAAACCCAAACCCCGCCGGCGGCGGGAGACGGCCCTGAGCCCAGAAAGAGCAGAATAAGGTGCTCCTTGGGGAAGAGACCAGGCCTCCCCACCAGGTCGCCGGAGGTGTTGCCCCTGCAGCCCCAGCTTCTTTCCTTAAGGAATGTGAGAACTTTTCTAAGCCAGAAGTTAATATTTTACTTTTCTCTCTGTGGACAATAAAAGATCCTTTGTCTTTTAGTTATTCCGAGTACTCTGAAACATTGTTCAGATACCTGCGTAGTTTATGGAACGGTGGTGAGTGTGGACCTAAGTGGTGCTTCTGACTCCCACCGGTTGCTGTGGGACACGCTCTCGGCTGGCTCGGTGCTTTTTGAGGGGGCGTCGTGGGCTCTGAGAGCTCGTCTCTCCCGTGGGCGTTGAGAGGTGGCCTCAGCATCCGGCTTCCAGTTGAACAAAAGTGGTGCTGACGGTTCTCCAGATATAACGGCATGCTTGCTGGCTTCCCGCTTCTGCCGCCACCGAGGCGGGGGCGCGCCTGAGGGCCTGCTGGCCGCTCCGTCCACTGTGGGGCTGCACAGAGAGGAGCCCCCAGAGGTGTCACACAAGCACTGGGGCTGACAGCCGACTGTGGGGTGCAGTGGGGTTGTGGAGGAGAGGGCAGGAGTGGAACCCTGATGGGGGAAGGGGCAGCCTGCAGAGATCTGGGAAAAGAACATTCCAGAAAAGGGAGCAGCAAACTGAGAGGCCTGATGCGGGTGCAGGGGACACAGGGCAGTGGCCGGAGGGCCCGAGGGACAGCAGGCTCGATTCCCTGCAGCCAGAGCAGCAGTGTGGGTTGGGGGTGTGCAGGACAGGGACCCCACTTGGCGATCCGAGAGAGGCCAGCAGTGGTGGGAGAGGCTGGCCACAGCTGCGGGGGCCTGGAGGAATTGCCGCTGGGCTGAAGGCCGACTGGGAAGTAGGGGTCCTGGCCACTCCGTCCTCCGCAGCTGGAGTCGGGCTGTGATCCACCTCAGTGGGGAGGCCCCAGGGGGTGGGCGGGCTGCCCGGGGGGAACCCACAGCTCTGGCTTGGCTATGCTGAGCGGGAGAGAGCCGTCAGGCCGTCCAGTGTCCCAGAGACTCTGAGTCAGACTCTGGACTCCAGCAGGCGGGGCTACCGAGAAGCAGGCCGTCTCAGGCCAGAACCAAAGCTTCTCTCTAGGACACATTTCACCTGCAATTTCATTTTGCAACTGGAGTGGAGCGCCAGGGAGTTTCACAGGTGCAACTAAGAACGAGAGAATGATGAAGGTGGGCAAGGGATCCAGTATCTCCCTCAGCCCCACTCTCGGCAGCCTCCCTGCGCAGCCCTTGTCATGGCTTCTATCTGGTCCCTACCCGCATCCCGCCATCCCCAAGCACTGCCTTCCCACACTGGGGTTATGACCACAGACTACATGCTCCCTGCACTCATGACAAAAGCTGCATTCTAGGACCCACAGGTGCCCACATTGCCCACAAAGGCACCCAGCTTTCTGCAGACGCAGCCCTGCACCAGGTTCCCTGACCCGCCCACCCACCTCTCTTTTCCCCCCATCCCTTCCGCCTTCAGGCCTGGGATGAGCCAATGCCGCCAGCTGTGTGTTTGCACGGGCTGCCTTTGCCAGCTTGCCCTTCTGCTGCACCTGGGTCTGCTGTGTGCACGTGGGAGGCGCTCAATGCCGGTTTGCCTGCAAAGGACAGGCCCATCCCGGGAGCTGCTGGTCACCCGGGAAAGGAAACCAGGTCCTG